TGGACCTTGAGGCTTATCAATGAGACCCCTGGGCAATTTGAGATAAGGATGTGTCCCTCCACAAGGGTTTTGCATTTGCTTTGGCCAGATGTTGTAGAGTACTCACCAGATGAGAATGAATTTTATGTTAATTTTTTGACCTGGGTACGAAATGCACCAAATTAATGGTATAACTTAAACTCAGTATCTAAATAAGGGAAGTCTCATGGTTACTATTTTTAGGGGAGACACTTGCTCTCTAACTCACAGCCCAGACTGAGATAGATAAGCCTGCCTGTCATCTCCCTAGATTGGTGGGACATAATCTAATTTATTATTATGTAACTTATTAAGGGACCAGACTGTATGCTGGAATGTGTGTCTCAGCCCTAACTCTGCACCTCACTAGGATTCAAGATCTTGTCTCCTAATCCCTTGTAATTATAATGGAGTCCTTATATAAAGGAGAGCTCCCCATCCCCAAGAACCCCTAACCCCAATGTCAGCTCATAGGCTTTCCAGTTTAGCTTTCAGTCTTCACTATGTTGCTGGCCCACTGCAAGGTCTATTATTTCCTTTTTGGCTAAGCTATACATTTAATATTTTATATAGCATTTCTAAATGTTTGTAGGAAGATTTTCTGTCATGCTATTGCTGAAAGTTGAAGAACATTTTCTTTACATGCTTATACCACAGAAATCCTAGAGGTTCAGAGTCTACCAAGAATTTTATAGTCCAGTTAATAAAATGAATTGTTTACATATGAAAACAGAAGATCAACAGATTGGTAGTAATGCATATGTTTATAAAGCAAAGGAACTGTTTCTTTTTTCCAACTAATCAGTTAAAATAAAAACTCTCATTAATTTCTTTTAGAAAGATTAAAACATTTATTACATTAATACAAAGCTTTATCCAGGAGGGGGCTAGGTGTTCCAGTAAGTATTTTGACAAAAATGAATACCATGCAGATGGGTACTAGATTTATTTGGGCAATCACTTCCTAGGTTCCATAAATGTCTAATCACTATGTTGTACACCTGAAACTAATATAATATTGTATGCCAATTGTAATAGAAATGCTTCTGCTGAGAGATTTTAAAAATTTGTACCATTTAAGATTTTCCATTTTAACATGTTTCTATTTTCAACTTGTCATAGCTCAGGCTATTAATGGCCCCCTACAACATCTGAAAATAATATCTGTAAAGATAGGCAGAGTCCTCAGCTTGTCATGGTGCTAGTCAGAAGGGATGGGAAGAAGCACTCTATGGGCCTGAGTGATAAAAGAACCTGGATAATATCAAAGTCCTATGCATCTTTCACTAATAAGATCATTTGGCTTGAATCCAAGATGGAGACAATCTGTATTTTATATTTGTAACTGCTTGAAAAAATACCTTCACATAGATGATGCCCTTTTAAGACAAGAAGGACAGAACAGTGGTTTAAGTTATTTATCCAAGGTTGCAGTTGGTAAAATGGTAAAGCCTAGAATAGAATTCTTGTCTGCAAACTAAATTCCATGCTAAGAGTGTTACCATGGCAAAGCCACCCTCAGGATGTCTTCTGCAGCCTCTGTATCTAGAAATCATTTATAAATTTTAAAAAGGAATGACTAAATAGAAGGCACAAAAATCTAATCCAAAGCTTCCCAAATGCCTGTTCAATTCGGGTCTGCACACAACAAAAGGGTGTGGTTGAACGTGGATTCATGCTTTAGATTTTCATTTGTCCAATAAGGCAGTCATGCCCTGGCCAGTTTGTCTCAGCGGTTCGAGCGTCAGCCTGTGGACCAGAGTCCCAGGTTTGGTTCCTGCTAGGGGCACGTACCAAAAGAAAAAAAAGAAACCCAGTAAGGCAGTCACTAGCCTCATGCCTATTTAAATGCAAAATTATTAAGTTAAATAAGCTAAAAGAAAAAGATTTCCTTCATTGCACTAGCCACATTTCAAATGCTTAACAGTCACATGTGGCTGGTGGCTGCTACACGGGGCAGTATTGATATAGCACATTTCCAACATCAGAGATCTACAGGACAGCTATGCTCTGGAATGTGGATTGATGAAGCAATTTCATTGTTGCAGGGGGATAGAAAGATCTCTGGCTTTGAAGCTCCACACACGTAAATTTGAATTCTGCCTCTATCACTTATAACCTTTGTGACTTGAGCAAACTTCTCTTAGACTCTTGTTTCCTTATCTTAAGTCGGGAATCAGAAATAAAGTGCTTGGACTATCATTTATGCTTAGTAACTAAAAAATCTGCAGTCTCCCGAACCCTCACTACAGCCCCACTGGGGTCCTGTGGTTGCCAACAGGCCCTTGCACAGTATATAAAAATACATGCTTCTGAAAGATTCAAGAGAATCATCAAACCTAATCCCTTGACTAGGGTTAGCATTTTCTTTGTGAGATTTTATCTTTTCTTAAGGGGTGTGGTGGTGGTGGTGAGCATTTGGCATTAAAAAAAAAAATTAGAACTGGAAAAAAAGTTATAATTCAATTTTCTATTACATAAACTCTAAACATTGATTTGAATGAAAGAAGCTGGATCTGAAGGTGTAACTTGAGTAAAATGGGTCAGGTGTCTTGGTGGTATTTCCCACAGGAAAATGACAGAAGAGCAGCTACAGAATCAGGTATAATTACCTGTATACACAATCAGACACTAATTAACTTTTTATTTAAAGAACAAATCCCTGAACAACTCAACAGCTTGCTTACCTGACAAGACTATTTTCTACTTTTGAGATGAGATACACTACTAGAGAGAGAGGCCTCAACACTCCCAGATCACTTTATGTTGTCTTGTCACTTCTCCTTGACACAGCTATTCCTTTAAATACTCCCCCAAGCTCCTCTTCTAGTCTGTTTCTAATATACCCACAGCGTTGTACTTGACCTTTTTAGTCTGAAAACAAGCTGACGTGTTCTTGAATTCCTAATTAGCAATATCAGAAATTATAAGGTCTTTAGCAGATGATTCAGAGCCCCATTTACAGGGAAATGAAATGATCTGGTCAAGTGAGTTTTCTGTTTAATCTTTGTTTCAATTTCTTGTTGAAAATCTTTAAAAACAAAATGTATTAGTGCACTTTTCTGCTCAAGAATAATAAACATTCCTGATGATTTAAGATCTTAACATTACAACAAATTAACCTATGATACTGATACAATACTGGGGTTACAGTTATAGAATATTGACATTTTCATGCTGACCCCAGGTTACACTTGAATTATTTGCTAGATTTTCACAAAATAAAATCTAACATTAGTTTGCTTTTAATTTGCCCTCATTTCTTCCACACTAGTTTAGAGAAATATTTCCAGATAAATGAAGCTCTGATTAGTTACTTTTGGTTAATCATGTTTTCATTATATTTGTGTTATGCTGTACTGTCAACTTTAAGGGAACATTTATTTTGAAAGAAATACAATACAATTCACTTTAGGTTTATACTAAATGGTAATTGAGTCCATTGGCCTCTGATAATTTTCCCTACTATTTTAATGATCAAACTTTTCTTAGAAGCAATAGCTAGATTAAGTTTCCAGGTAGTCAAGAGCAGAATTAAGCCAATTTCTCTTTTTCAAAAAACTGATGTGTTCCTTTGCAGAATTTCCCCTTTAACAGAATGTTCAAAACAAAGAATACAGCCATGTGAAATAATTCTACTTGTTAACATTAGTTTAAATAAATCCATCTGAACTAACGATGAAAATCTCAGAGGTAATTCAATTACCTAGACAAATAGTTTATTGAAAAGAGATAGATTTCATTTCACTTAGATACTTAAAAGCAAGTTAAGGAGAAGAATTTGGGGCTTCTAGCTTCAAAACAGACCTCACTGTTTCTCATTCAGGAAATTAAAAGATGCATAATCTTTAGTAGCTTTTGATATTTTATACTGAAGACATTCCCCCAATACCAGTTACCTTCCAGTCAAGTGAAATTCAAATACAGTAACTTTTACTTTTTAAGTTAGAAGCAACGTTTCTCTCTAGCTATTTCCTTAGATGATAGTTATGGATAACCTTCTGCCCTCATCACATGTTCATTACCCATGATGAAATACAAAAACCAAGCACTGCATACATTTTGAAAGGACCACTCTAGCTTTGCTGACTATATCCAACCATTGTTAAGAGTCTGTAAAATGCCTGAAAGGACCCTGAACTATAAAGCAAAACAAAACAACCCCCCCCAAAACAAAAATGTTATTATTTTCACTCTCTGACTCACCTTTGAGTCTCAGCTGACTTAACTGCCTGCCTACCCCACAAAGGTTATTGTATTATTAACATTAAAGTACAGTAGCTCTTGGCCCCGCACTTGTACCCAGCAGACACTCAACTAAACAGACAGAATGAAAAATACCACTCTCAGATAGTACTTTCTTTGTGGACAGAAATATCAGTGTATGTACCCATCCTGTGTCTCTCCAACTAAGTCCTATTGCTCAGGGGCATGAGTGGCCAATAATTCAATGTCACACGAAAAACAAAAGGTGAAACTTACCTTCATAAAGCAAACAATAAGAATATAATGTAATGCTATTATATAAAAAAGTATAGTTAACTAAAATAACATAAGTTATTGTATACAAAAGTGTTTCAATTTTAGAAGTCCTATTTAAAATATTTGATCTTGCCGGGTTTGTGTGGCTCAGTTGATTGAGCGTCATCCCATGCGCCAAGAGGTCACCGGTTCAGTTCCCGGTCAGGGCACATGCCCAAGTTGTGGGTTTGATCCCCAGTGGGGGGGCGTGCAGGAGGCAGCCAATCGATGTTTCTCTTTCATCAGTGTTTTTCTCTCTCTCTCTCTGCAATCAATAAAAACATATTAAAAAAATAATAAAAATAAAAGATTTGATTTTACTGAGCCTAATTTTAACTATAAGAGTATAGACCAAATTTTTTTGGTAACTTAACAATTCCAAAAATAATATGCTGATAGAAACTAGAGTCACCCAATTTGAATTGAAAATATACGAACTGTAATAAAACAGACATACTCACAGCTTGCATTTCTATATAGAAGAAATGGTTCGTGGAGTTGAAATTCCAAATCTTTATTCACTGGTTCAACAAGATTGTGCATATTCAATCGATTCACAATAGTAAAACCATGGTAAGGGGAAGCTGACCTTAGATTTAATAGAAGAAAAAGAAAATCTGTAGTCACTGTTAGTTTGCAGAGATGTTATCTACTTCTTTATTTCCATTTCTAAGATTGACTATATTATTGCATTATACATTATTAGCATTTAAAATTGTAAACAAAAAAACTTAAGTCAGATCATAACCCTCTTCCTCTGAGAAGATTCCAAGGATACAATCCCTTCCGAGTAAAGGTCAAAATCCTTATTAAGGCCACAAGGCCTTAGCTGATATGCCCACCACCCCTGGACTTCAGCTCCTATGCCTCTTCCTGCCCCAGCCACACTGAGCATCTTGCCATTCTCTCTAAATACCTCTGCCTGGACCACTTGTCCAGAATCTAGTTATCTCATCTCCCATAGCCTTGGCTCAAATGTCACTTTCTTAATGAGGTCTATCTGAGAACTATCCTTTTCAGTGCTCCCAAGTTCAATACCTCTAACCACCCTCCTCTTTTTCCATACCACTTATTATTTTTTATACTTGTCTTTCTACATTAGAATGTAAGCTCCATGCAAATAGGGTTTTTGTCTTATTTTTTTTTTCCAGATGTATCCCAAGATAGACACACAGTAGATATTTAATACACATTTGCTCAATAAAAATAACATTTATTTTAAATATGGTAGAGGACTGGTTATAATAATGAATGACATGACAATGATGATTTTTCTTGTACCAAACAGGTCTTTCCATTTTTCTCAAGTTAGAAAAATGGCTCAAATCCTACAATAAGAAATGTCCTTGGTTCAGTACATGACCCCTAAGACACTCCTCACATGTATACAACACTTTATAGTTTCTCATTAGTTTCTCTGTGTAGATGAGAGAGATTTTAGAATCCTGTTCTACAGTTTAGGGAACAAGCTCAGAATGATTAAGGCCTATGCCCAAAGTCATACAAATAAGATAATCAGAATTCAGCTTTAGGTTTTCTGACTACAAATCTAGGCTTCTACCATGCTAAGGTCTCTCTCTGTCTCTGCAAAGTGATATTCTGACATCCTGGTATACATTCATCTAAGGTATATAAAGTGTTCTCATATTTCTCACATAGAGTTTCTTTGGTCTCCTTTTATTAGAATCAATACCACATAAGCCTCCATGTCTTTTATTAAGTCAAGTTACTCACTATACTGAATTATGCATTTTCTATAATTAGTGAATCTGTACTATATTGTAACAATAAGGCCAGGAAAGTACTTTTCAAGTATTATAGATACTAAAGTTCTAACAGCAGTTGAAAAGTTTCTAGAGATTTATATTGGTAATGAAGAATAATAAAGGAGGTGCAGTTAGTAAAGGTCTCCCCCCCAAATGTGAAGAATATTTGACAAATTCTTGTTAATTACCATCGATGGAGAAAGGTAATCCTTAAAAGATAATTCATAGCACAACTCCCCCTCCCGCCCAGCCAAAACACAAACAAAAAACTAAAAGAACCAGATGTCAGTAATAACTCCTGCTGAGTCCCAAAGCTTTAGAAACCAAAGGAAGAAATCAGAGCTAAACCTAACAGGGATACATGAAAACAAGGAACTCCATGACTGTCATATACTGTCAGTTACTTTTAGACCACAAAACTTGAAATTTGCAAAACAATCACATTTTATAATTGTCAGAAAAGTTGAAAATAAAAACTGCAATTCTGAATCATTCAGGATTTCTAAAGGACTCTCAAATTAAAAATACACATTACTAAAGACAGCACACAATTCAGAACATTTAGGGAGAGTGTGGGAAACAGGACAGAACCAGAGTCAAAGAAGATAACCTCTCATTCAGTAACCAGACAACAGCAGGACTGACCTTCAACCACATTATTTTATAGAGCTAGTCCATGTATTATGTTTTTCTCAACTATATATCTTTCTAAATATGGGGTGGGGGTAGGAGGAAGGCATCTGTTTTAGACTCATTCATTATTAAAAACTGTTTTCTATTTTGAGATGGTTTTGCCAGGTTCCCAAATAAGTTCTGGTTCTGTTTACTCTGAATCACAGGAAGGCTCAAAGAGGAGACATAATAACTTGGTTAGGATCTCGCAACTTAAGATGAATGAACACCTGAGGGTCAAGCAGGAAGGTTCCAAAGGTAAATGTACAACAGGGTTGAACCATTTCATATGACATTGTTCACCATGAGATTAAAAAAATATATAGCTCTGGCCGGTTTGGCTCAGCAGTTAGAGCGATGACCTGAGGACCGAAGGGTCACAGGGCATGTATACTTGGGGTGCTGGCTTGATCCCCAGCCCCGGTTGGGGTCGTGTGGGAGGCAACCAATCGATATGTCTCTTTCACATTGATGTTTCTTTCTTTATCTCTCTCCCCTTCCTTTCCTCCCTCCCTCCCTCCCTCTCTCTCTCTCTCTCTCTCTACACACACACACACACACAATCTTTTTTTTTTTAAAGCTTACCTTCGATATACAAATAAGGTCCCTTCTATATCAGTCTTCTCCTATAATAGACAATAAAACAATTAGTTTTCTCCCCATAATGCAACCCCAAATATTCCAAAGGAAAAGAAATACATGTTTAAGATCAACTTATTTTAAAATTAATCACTTTTAAACAGGTCAAGTCAGTCTCTCACTCCACAAACTACTGTTACAATTTCTTTTGTATTCCTTCTATGCTACTGATGAATATTAATGTATATGCAATGCTCAATTCAGCAACATGCCTGCATCTGCAGAATTTTTCTAATTCTTTTTAAAAATTTAAAGGAAAAAATCCTAGAATTAGCTTTCACTTTTTAAGCTAAAATGTTTTAGCCAGATTTCGTAATTTTAAAGGCAAGGTCTTTCATACAGCAATTTCTTCACTTTTAAAGTTTACCAATGTTAGTAGGAAAAAAAAAGGAAATTTTATCTTATAGCCTATTTTGTTTCAACATTGGAGGATTTTGGTATATTTCACAAGTAGTAAATGTTGTGGTAGTTACTGTCAAACATAATTAGTTTGTTATTTTTAGAACCTTGTTGAAGGATGTTGAATACTGAAACTATAATCTGCCTTAATGTAATTACTGTAGGTCTTACAAATAATTTTTAAAAAGTTTTAGCTTAAAGTGAAATGTTTTGATTAAAAAAGTACAACTTATACCATCTTTCATTTGCTGTGCCAAGAGTGTATTTAGGTCTTAAACACAGTTACAATTTTAAAAAACAACATATTAGCCTGCAGTTCACACCCTTGATAGGACCTAAATATTTTAATGTAATCAACAAACTGTAAGAAAACTTTAAATGTCACATGAAATTTAATTTGTTGGGATAAAAAATGTTTAAAATATGCCCAGCTGGTCAGTGAATTGAACAGCATCTCATAGACTGAGAGATCCCGATTCGATTATTCGATTCCTGGTCAGCGCATGTGCCTGGGTTACAGGCTTGATTCACAGAGGGGGGCTGTGGGAGGCAGCCGATAGATGTTTCTCTTTCTCTCTCCCTTCCTCTCTAAAAAATCAATAAAAATATTTTTAAAAATGTTTAAAAAATATTTATCATCTTGATTTCTTCCAGAAATACTGTCCTAGTTTAAATATCATCATGGAACTTTTCTTAAGGATTCAGAGGCTTTTTCTTGACTTTCAAATGTTATTAGTATAAGAAATTGGTAATCAACTGTCTCAGTGAAAAAAAAATTGCCCCTAGAAAACATTGTGCAAAGTCACAACTCACTGTAAAATAGAAAAGATTCTGGTTATGCTCTATGTGTCATAATTGAAATGAACAAGCAATGGCAGCCTGTTTTTCAACTCAGGTTATTGTAGCTTGTATCTTATTTAAAACAGAACTCCACAATTAAAATACCAAAATATTGAAAATCTGTGAAAATTTAAAAACAAAATTTCTTAGTAAATAAGTCTCTGCCCCAAGTCTTTAACATTTGTTGGCAATCTCTATTTCACAAATGTATACGTAGATCAAGAAAAGAATAATTATTCAGAATAATTCAAACTAAGCCAATGTTTTTCTAAAACAATTACACTTTTAAAAAATCTATAATTTTGTTCTTTGTGGCTTCCCATACCTCCTTCTCTTCCAGGAGGTGAAGGACAGATCGAAACCAAGATAATTTTGTCTTCATCTGATTTAACTTTATAAATGCCAAATGACTTTCATAAAATTACTGGTTAAATAAACTTTATATCTGTATTACATTGTAAAGAATGTGCTATGATGACAATCTTCAAAAAAAATTTTTTTTCTTTATTGATTTTAGAGAGAAAGGAAGGGCGAGGGAGAGAGAGATAGAAACACTGAGGAGTGAGAACACTGAATGGCCACCTCCTGCATGTTCCCCACTGGGGATTTGGCCCACAACCTGGGCATGTGTCCTAACCGGGAATCCAGTGACCTCTTGGTACATGGGGTCAATGCTCAAACACTGAGCCACACCGCTGGGCTATGATGACAATCTTTAATTGTTTTGTTAGCATAAGTATATTTCTTAGTGAAATGTGAACGTCAGTAATTTATAAATTCAATTCATCAAACATTTACTGATTGTTTTCTAAGTGTTAATAAAATCTATAGTTGAATGAATTAAGAAGGATCAATCACTAGAAAAATTATATTAAAGCAATGAAGGAACCTTCAAACAGGGGCCAACAAGTCAATGGATAGACTGAATATAACTTTTTAGGACCCCCTCCCGTGCAAAAAAGCCAGAAAGTGTTTAGTCTGATGGGAGCATTCAGGGGTGACATCACCACATTTATTTACAGGGTCTCTTTTCCAACGGTTTCAAGGGAATCCAAGTAACATGGAAGCCCATTTAAGAGACTTGAAATCTTTTCCAAAACTCTGGAAACACAGGGTAGTTCGATAAAAGCCGGACTTATCCCCATCTCCTCTCTTCCAAGAATTGAAACTAACTAGACTTCAATCTTTAAATCCAAATGACCTCTGAGAAGGGGGCTCTTATTTATGTCTGTTGCGGGGCATAGGAGGAACGTTCACTTTATAGATTATGTATATGTAATTTATCTAACAACCCTCAACCTTTCAGGCATCTTTCTGACCTCATTGGTCCCATATCCTTAGCACATCAGCAAAGAAGGCAGATCACCCAAGTCCCGGGATCCGACCCTAAGGGACTGATTCTCCTCCAATCCTCCCTTGTGTCGGTTTTCCCCCCGGCTGTCTTGGGCCTACTTCTCCAGCTTCTCTTTCCCAATTTCCGGGTCCCCGACACCCCTCAGACGCCCGCCAGGTCCTCCAGTCCCTGGCCTCGTCTCCGCCGCCCTGGCCTCCGGCATCACCACCCACTTAGGGCGGTCTGCGCGGCCCCTTTAAGAGGAGGTGGCCGGGCGACATCGCTCAGTGGCCTGGCGGCACTCACCCACTGGTTGGCCTTGGGGCAGAAGGTGTACAGAGCAACCTGGCCCGTGAGGTCTGCGATGCTGGTGATGTAGGGGTCGTGCTGCTTCAGGGCCGCTAAGCTCATCTCCTGCCCAGCTCGACTCAGCGACTCCATCTTGACTTCTCGAGCCGAGCCCCTCCGGAGGGGGCGGAGTCTCGAACAGGAAGGTGCCATCGAGGCAAAGTTCCCCCAGCAGAGTCGGCGCCCTCGATTTCCGCCTCTCGGCTGAGCCTCACCGCAGGGCGGTACGGTAGCTATTAAGCTCCGTGGTGCCCACGCCCAGGGCACCGGGTTCCGGCGTCGTTAGGTCCCAGGGGCCCAAAGATCCGTGGAGCTGGCAGGTGCGGGCCCCAGGCGCTTCCTTTCTGCAGACTGAAGTGTTCCGACACCAGGATCAAGGCTGCCCGCGCGCTCTCTCCGAGCGCCCGCCCGACGAGGTTGGAGACCGAGGCGGGCCTGCCTCGGCCGCGCACGGGGAAGGGCCCGGGGCGGCGGAAGGAAGACCTCGCTGTGCAATCTCCCGGGCCGTTTAGAAAGCACAGTTAGCGAGTTAGTCTTCGTCTGAAGGAAATGTTTGAGAAAGCCAAACTAATGTCCTTTGCTATCCATTTTTGCTCCTTATTTTCCTCGTCTGAATCCCAGGTACATCTTTACAGACAATCTTGGAAAGAACCCTGAAGGCTTGAGTTTCTCGTGAACCGTTTAAAGCTTTAAAACCTTTTTAAAATTCTTTTAACAAACATCTGTTGAGCATTTGAAAGAGCCAGGTACTAGCTAGAGTATAGCCCCCCACCCCGTCCTCGTTGAAAAACATTTTCTTACATTGAAAAGATACCACAGTGGAATTTAAATTTTTGAAAGGATAAAACCCCGTGATATTTGTATTGTTTATGATTTTACATCCCAGGACGATTTTTGAATGGAAAGAGATTTCATATCTTACAGTCTTTGCATAATCACGCCAGGAGCGTGTACAAATGCAAACAAGGACACAGGTATCATTCATTAAGCAGGTATTTATTGAACTTCTAATTGTAAACTGGTAGCCCCTTGGGAGCATCAAAGACTATTGAAGACAGCTGCCTGGTTCTGGGCGAACGTGGAAATGGTAGGACAAGGCAAAGAAACTGGGACAATGCTAGTGATGGTTCTCTTGAAACCCAGAGGATGGAACCACTAACAACATCTGGTCAGGGAAGGCTAGGAAGGCCTCATGGAGGAGGTGATGTTTGAATTAATGCTTCAGGGATGAATAGATATTCAGAGAAGAAAAGCAAGGGCTCCTTTTGTTGGCAGGGCTGCAGGAACGGCACCAGGTGTTAGCTTGGTGGGGTCAGACCAGACCTGGGTTCAGCATCCTTGGTACTTGAGTTCTGGCACGGAAAGAATTCAGAGCCAAGACTCAAAGTATAAGAACATTTATTTATAAAAGTACAGAGGTGGAAGAAATAATTCATAGAAGAAATGGGCTTAGGAAACAAGTTATAGAGGCAAAGGAAGGGCCCTAGGAGCTTAGAGGTGAGGAAGGTAAAGGTGTTGGGCCAGGGGGAGAGGGAGGGGAAAGGCCATGGTGGTGACCTATTGTCCTTGCTCTGCTCATGCCTGTCTAACTCCACCACACTTTCAATTTACAGTCTAGTGGTGAAGTAGAGAAGATGTTGTCATCCTTATTTGATGGCTGGTTTAATGAAACTGGGTAGAGAAATCACTGGTTTAAAGTTCCACATGAGTCAGGGGGGATCTGGTATTAGAACCCAGAGATTCCTGCCTCCCACCTTGGCTCCTTTGCTCTACAACATGCTGCCTTTCTTTCTCCTGAAGACGGAACTGTACTCCACCTGCTTTCAGTTGAACATTTAAACAATGTGTACCGTAATTTAAAAAAATACAGTTATATGTATTTTTGAATAAGTAGTACAAAATTCAAAGGCACACCTGAAACTGAATTCAGTTTTTTCTTTTACATATATCTTTACTGTTGAAAGTATTACAGATGTTTCTCCCTTTTTTCTCCCCACTGACATCCCCCTCCCAGCTCCCCCCACCTCCACCTTCACTGAATTGTTGTCTGTGTCCATTGGTTATGCTTATATGCATATAAGTTCTTTGGTTCCCACTCCCCTTCCCTTTGAGGTTAGTGTGTTTCCTACTTTCAAGTCTCTGGATCCGTTTTGTTCAACAGCTCATTGCGTTCATTATGTTCCACAAATAAGTGAGATCGTGTGAAGTTTTTTCTTTTTTTAAAAATTATTTTTTCATTGAGGTATAATTGACATATAATATATTTCACTATAATGATTTGATATTTATATATATTGCAAAATGATCACCACAATAGTCCAGTTAACATCCGTCACCATAATAGTTACAAATATTTTCTTGTGATGAGAACTTCCCAGCTACATACAAATATGCAATACAGTATTAACTATAGTCACCATGATGTACACTACATCCCCATGACTTATTCATTAGTTTTATTAACATAGATTTCCTAAAATAATCTAAGGTATTTTCTTTTGTTTATGTGTCAAAACTGCTGCAGAGCCCTGGCCAGTGTGGCTCAGTTGCTTGAGTATCAGCCAGTGCACTGAGAGGTCGCCGGTTCAACTCCCAGTCAGGGCACATGCCCAGGTTTCTTCGTACAGGAGGCAGCTGATAGATGTTTCTCTCTCTCTCCATCTCCTTCTCGCTTCCACTCTCTCTAAAATCAATAAAAACATATTAAAAAAAAAAAAACTGCAGGAAGTCACACCACGTGACAACAAAACCAATTACCAGGTGCATGCTAATCATTCACTGAACAGTGGTGACTCTTGGATTTAAATATGTAGACTATAGTAGATATGTAATATTTATTTATGTTGGGGAAATTACTACAGTGTTTTTTCCCCCATCATATGGCCTATTCACTCAAATTTGTTAAAAATAACAATGAATAACAAAAATAACCTGTTAGTTTAATTATAGTAAGCAAATCTTGGTTAAAAGATTTTTAAAATTAACAGGGTGTTAATTTTCACAAATGACATGCGGACCAGAAATTTTGTTCATTAAATCCAAAGTTCATTAAATCGACGTCTGCAAAATCCAGGGTTTACTGTATGTGTACATTTGGAGTTAAGGAAAGTAAGGAAGATTACATGAAGGTGGGTGAAAGTAAGTTGTAGGATAATTAACAAGATTATGTGCTCTGTAGCAGGGTCTGGAAAAGAGGATTACTTCTGGCATTTCAGAGGTGTGTTAACCTAGATGCACAAGAACAGTGGACAGGGCTTGCTTGAAAACCTTTGAAAAAACAAAAACCCAAATAAATCCTTTTACTAAAGAAGTTATAGGTCTGGCATGACTACTCACCTTGACCTGCCCTATGAGTAATTTATAATCAGATCACCCTGTGTGATTACTTTTGATTCGATTTGTTACAGTGCCCTTCTTTTGTTCGAATTATTCAAAACTCTTACCTGCAAGTTGTAAATATTTTATTTACTTATGTTTTATCTGTCTTGTCAATGAAGCAGGAACCATATCTGTCTTGTTGACCGTCACATTCTCAGTGCCTGGCACACAGGCATGGCCTAATATGTGTTTGTTGAGTTAATTGGAATGTTGGGATGTTCTCTCTATGGCATAAACCTGAGAGAAAGGATGGTTGTTTCAACTCCACATCTAACAGAGCATTTGTTTGTCATAAGTGCTAAACAAATAATCATGCCTGATTTGCTTGTATTAATATATTTTGATTCTTAGGCTCGATGCCTCTTGAACAAATGTATTGTTTTTGGTATAGCCCAGCACCTTTTCAAGCTTGCAACTTTCCCCATGTCTGTTTTCTCTCCATCTCTCCATTTCTTCTCTGTTCCTCTCCTTCCTCTTCCTTTGTCAGATTTTTAAAAAAATCCTCATCTGAGGATTTATTTGGGTTTTTGTTTTTCCATTTATCTTTAGACAGAGCTGGAGAAGGGGAGAGAGAGAGAGAGAGAGACAGAGAGAGAGGGAAAGAATCATCAATGTGAGCGAGGCACATTGATTGGCTGCCCCCGCAGGACTCCAATCAGGGCCGGGTACCAAACCACAACCAAGGTACGTGTCTTTGACAGAAATCAAACCCAGAACTCTGGTCTGCGGGCCGTCTAACCGCTGAACCAAACCTACAGGGGCAGATTTTAAAGCTATATTCTAGAAGTATCTGCTTATTACATTTGGTCTTTTTAGGCAAAGACACCAAGCTAACTAATTTTCCCTAGGTCATATAATGATTCATTTGTTGAGTTGGGATTAACATCTTCTAGCCTTGGCTTCCAGGTAGACAGTACCTGGCCAACTCTTAAATCTCACTAGCTACACGTGAGTGAAACTTGTTATCCTTGTGCTACAGTTTCACTCCTGATATTTATTTTACATGATTGTTATCCAGAAGGGGGTGGACTTACCATAAAATTTATTACCGAGTCCTTATGAGATGTTGAGGATAGTTCTTCAGCTTCTCCAGAAAGGTCTCAGACCTCTGTATTTAAAAGGTACTTTTTGAAAGTATTTTAAAAGGTGCTAGATGTTTTCTGGACTTACACTTCTGATATGTGAACTAGTTTAGTCTGTCAGTTCTGGTTCAGAATATTCATGCTTTCAGCTAGGAAGAAAGAAATAGCTGTTCTATATGGAATAATGTAACTAGAGTAAAAGAACATGGGATCAGAATACCATTTAGTTAATCTCTTTATTGCTAGGAAAGACTGCATTTAGCTAGGGTTCTTGATGATGCTCTCTGGTAGAAAGTTCTGTTTTTTACTGTTACTTAATCCAATGTAATGTTTCAAATTAACAATAGCGTTGCAATGGCATAAACAATAATAGTATATTCAACTGACACACCACTTATCCATGAAACTTAAAGTACTTTATGTTATACATATTCACAGTCTCTCAAGATTGGTAGATGGATGTAAATAAAATAATTGTTACCCATTTATAAATGAAGGATCCCAGAGAGGCACAAGAGTAGTAGACTTGCTTATAGCAGATCGTTTGCTTTTCACCAACAATCCTTTTATCTTTTTCATCCGCTTTAGGCACACAGCTAGGCTTCACATCCCAAGCTACTTCAGGTTATTTTACGGACCTGAACAAAATTTATCC